ATTACTAACGCAGTGTAGTAATAGCATAAAGACAATTTCTGCGCCAGCTTGTTTCTCTGAAATTCTCTTTGCCACTGAACAGCCAGAACAGATAATAACTATTAGTAAATCAAACCCCTCTGCAATATCCAGCTGTGCCTCACACATTTACATACAGATAGAATGGGTATATGTTTTTAATATGTATGTGATACGTACTTTTACCACAGCCAAAGTGCATGCTACAAAAGCGGAGGAGAATGGGAATCAGATCAGCATGAGATAATAAAGTGGCCTAGATAAAGTATTAGCCAGCGATTGATCTCAAACCAGGTGCTGCTTCTTCTGACCTGATTACTTACTATGCATAGATTCCATTAAATAGAGCTTAGACATGGAAAGCTACTGGAAATGCTTTAAATGCATACAAGGATCTATAGTACTCTGCACCCCAATTGTAACTGCAGAGGTGTCTGCGGCCCACACACCCTCCCTGCTCAAGGCAAGGACCATAGTCAGGATCCGCTGGGAGGTTAAAGGCGCCCCCCTGCCCCCCGACAGCTGGTGGGAAGCACTGCCCAGTCCCACAGAACAGGGCTTTCCCTTCCAACCCCTACACCAAGCAAGTCCCCTCCCAGCGAGTGCCTCTCTCCGGAGCTGCCCACTGTCTGGCCCTCGCCGCACAGCTCTAACTAACAGAATGGGAAGGTAGCAAGGGAGCTTAACAATCCTTTCGGCTCATGGTCCCCTTTGAAAAACTGATGACAGCCATGAGTCCTTCTTTTCAGGAAAAAAATGCAAATCCCCACATGCATGCAGAATTTTGGATGTAATTTCAGGGCCTCTCACAGACTTCCTGACGTCACAGACCCTAGGTCAAGGACTGAGGATCCAGTCCACCCCTCCATTTTGCAGATGAAGACACTGCAGTGGGAGGGAACTGGGAGTTGCAAAGGGGAGGGAAGTCTGGAGGCTTTCCCTGCAAAGTCACGGCCTGATCCAAAGGGAAGGTTAACTCTGCAGAAGGGGTTCTCTGTGGTTTACACAGCAAATGGTCTATACTACGTTTCTCATCCTGTCCCTTTTATCTAAAAATACTTAAACCTGTACTTTGAATAGCAAAACCAGACTGGAACCTCTCCATCTCAGTGCTCCCACCCACGCTGTCTCTGTCCTTGAGTTTAAGGGTCTGATTTTTACTTTTTTGCTTCCCTCAGTCTGATTGCAGGCGTTTTGGGAGAATTCCTCTACCACCTTTGCATTGTCACCCTCTCCTCTCTCACTGCAGTTCCATCAATCCTCTCTGATGGGCAGAGGCTGTTTCTGTTTTTTTTTTTCTTCACATGAGCAGCGCCATCCCTGCTCGGCTGTCTGAAGCCCGTCCCTCCACAGAGTTGCTGCAGCCTGAGGACTCTGTCTAAGGCTGCTGGACCCCAGTAACAGAGCTGGGGTGGTGCTGACACAGTGTGTTCCCGCAACACCCGTCAGGGTGCTTTGAAAGTGGGTTCTTTCAAAATGGCACCTGTCTCTCAGGAGCAGACAGGGGGTGTGTGTGGTTGCCCGTCTGGTTGTGCCAGTGAGCCGAACGTCCTTGCTGCCCACACAGCTGGTGTTCCTGTGCTAGGTTTAAAGCTGACTGCTGATTTGGGCAACAGCTGTTACAGAACTGAAGAAGGACCAGATCCTCCCAAGGAGGAAGGACTTCCCTGTACTCAAATGGAAGTCTACCCCAGAGAACTCAGCTGTGGAACAAGGTATGTGTGGGCAGCTGGTTGTGCAGCTTCTGAGTCAGGTCAAAGTTTCCAGGCCTGGACACCAGGGTTCCTTCTAGAAGAAATGGGATTTCGGAACAGACTGCCTAGCTGGGGGTGAGCATGTTGCCTGTCTGAACTCCGGCATTGTGGGTGTGGGACTCCAGGAGGCCAATGTCGAAGGGATCTCTAGCCCAGCAGACAGCAGAAGTTTCGAGTTGCTCTGAAGGTCTGGAGCTCCTACACACACATGCTTTGCCTAGAATGTCCTCCTGAAAACACTACTAAAATTCAATCCACCCCCCAAAGCCCCTTTTCAAAAACCTACCCTTTCCGCGTAGCTTTTCCCGGTTTCCCCAGATGGACCGCCACAGCACTCTGCAGTTCGTCACGACAGTTACTTCACTGAGTTATTTGTGTACTGGCTGCGTCCCCTGCAAGACTGCATGCACACGGCTCGCTCTTGGTATCTTCTGTTGGGTCTAGCACAAGGCTTTGCACATATGGTGTGCAAACGTCTGCTGAATTCATGTGTGTACCTAGTTCTGAGATCTCTCAAGATGGTGCGGATCCTGGTGATAAAACTTCTCAGTAAATTCTTTACGTAGCTCAATCTCAATGACTCTGCCAGAAAAGTGAGATAGTGCACACAAGCCCTGCCTTCCCAAAATGTAAGCGTTGAGGAAGTGTCTTGGTCCAGTGTCAAAATATTTCCACTTGGAACATAAAAACTGATCATCATCTTAGGAACAACCATACCATATAGACAAAACTGAGCAGCTAAACAACCAAGTTCGTTCTAACGCTGGGACTTCAGTGGCCTCGAGAGACTAAACTTGAGTTGTACATTTCATCTTTAAGACTGACATGGTCAAAAATTGCAAACGCGATGATTTTAATTCTGGGTATTCTGGATAGAAGGTGATCCCACCAAACCAAATGACAAAAACTGCTTGAGTCCCCACTGTGTGCATGGTGCACACCTCCCCGCAGTCAGATTTACTCAGGTGGGGTTTCGCTGCATTTACCGGTACTCAGGGCCACACTGGGGTTCATGAAAAAGCCCCCCAGTAGTGAGTCTGTAACTCTCAGCATTTCCCTGCAACCCATCCGAGTTTCCTCCTTTGCTTTGGAAAACACAGGCCCGTAGGGAAAGCTCGACAATCCTGCAGGTCTCACAGCCGATGTGGCCCACGCTGTGCAGACCACATTGGTACCCTGCTGCCTGGAGTTACTGCGCTTGGGAGATAAACTGCTCTTTTTGTGAAAGGCAGGCCCCCACCCACAGTGACAAATGGGCTCTACAGTTCATGCATTCCAGAGGATGCTCTCAGCTTCCAGATGGGAGCACCATCAAATAGTTGCAGGCAGAGAGAGAAAAGGAAAAATTAAAGCCATTAATATGCTAGAAGGAATAAAGAGACTGGTTCCTTAAGACTGGGTCCCTAGGATGTGACTCAGGTTCTTCAAACCAGGGACAATTCACTTCTTTCCCATCCCCTACGAGCCCACTATTTTGACCAAAGGCAGGCAGGTTGCAACCTCCTTGACCACTGGGCCTTACGCACACTGTCTCCTGCCTCCCCACGGAGCCCTTTCTAAGCCAGGGGGAGCGTCACGACTGCTACACCTGAGGGAGTCCATTCATTTAAGTCAGACTGTGAGCAGCACTAGAAATAATGTTAAATTAAGTATAGGATGGTGCTTCCTGTGACTGAATTTTCATTGTGCTTTATTGATTTATTGATACTTATTAATTAAAAATGTGGAACAGCACACACCGGGGTATATGGTTGTAAAGAGATATATCGAAGTACATATCCCTCGTCTCTCTCCACACACACACACACACACACACACACACACACACACACACGCTTAAAGGCACTGGAGGTGCCCATGCTAACCTTATCTTTATGACCTGCCGCCCTAGAACGATGTCCCTTACCAGTACATACGTCTGCATATACCACCTGCAGATGTTTTATTTATAAGTGGCCAACTCAGTGCAGTACCAAATCACGCACCTACAAACATTATCTGTTTTATGAAACCCTATTCCTTTGTTTTAATAGCTGAGCTATCCAGCCATAGCATAATAATGTACAAGGTAAATGGGTCTCCATCTCTAGTACCTGTTCCAAGTTTTCTCAAATGTGACTAACTACAAGGATTTCTCAACCGTCAAAGAGACACCCTCTACCCCCACCAAGAGCAGTTTATTCTAGACATGAAACCCGTACAACTACAAAGCACAGAGGATTTAGGGGTGAACTTTCTTTAACTTGAAACTACCCTGAAAAAAGAAATCTTGCCCCAGGGGTGACAGGAAGGAGAAAACTACTTTCCCGGAAAGCACTCACGACAAAAAAGACATAGACTATTGTTTTATTTGGGGGCTGAGAGCTGCAGATATAGAAGCTTGCATGCTTAGGTGTTTGTTCATTAGGATGACATACAAAGGAGGAAGACTTTTGAACCAGGTACCTCTAAAATGCTTATTGTTTAAAGTGGTGAAGGAAAACTGGTTAGAATTTGCTCTGACTGCGATAATCTAAGACGGAACGGTACGCACGTTAGAAAGAGTAGACTCTCACTATCATTTACTAATGCTCGAGTCTAATGTTACTTTAACAGCTTGTGTGTTGTCAAACCAACACTCTGCACTGAAGAGACGACCATTTGGGAATTGTCAGGAGCATCTCTGTTTCTCTCCCTGTGGGACTAAAGACTGTCACTTGCAATCAAAGAAAGCGGCCTTGGAGCTGAGAATACAGCACCAACAGCCTTATCCTGTTTCTTTCTGAGCAAAGACCAAAGATTCACATTAGCTTGATCTTTTGCAGCCAATCTAATTTCCTTCTACACGAAACCAAGAGGGCTCCTAGCCACATTCAGAACTTCCTGTAGGGCCACACTAAAAACTTCGTATGCTGACTGTCTTCTCTGTGACGGATGCTCAGTGCTGAGAGAGGCTGTGATAGCAAACGGGGACAGGGCGCAGCCTGGAGTAATGTCTGACCCCTAAGTGGAGGCAAAGGAAAAGAGCTCTGCATTCACTGTCAAACTGGGGGTGGGCTTTTAAAAAGTAAACACCACTACGTGAGGAGCTGAGCCTCAAATGCGCCGACCCAAATTAAATAGATACCGTTGCATCTCCAGAACCTGTGGGTATTTTAAATTCCATCCTGGTCCTTTTAACAGAATGCTAAGCACAGATATATAAATGGAGAATCCTAATGTATTATAACTAAAAAAAAATTTACTTACCATCAATTCCTCAGGTGCTGGCCTTTCTTTTGGCTGTTTTCGCATACTGTAAGAGGAAAAAAAAAACACCTATTATCGCTATCACTTCTAAGTTGATGCTGTAATTTCCATCATTGACTATTTCCCCTGGAACTGGGATGTTATTAAAATTCATCATGTCCAATTTTTGGCCAAAGTACAGGCACATCTAATTTTAATGTGCTTTGCTTTATTGCGTTTCACAGATGTTGCTTTTTTATACAAACTGAAGGTAAGACTCTCCACCAGCAGAAAGATTGCGACTCGCTCGCTGTGACGCGTGCCAGTGTCTCTGGGACGCGCCCGCACCAGCGTAAGGTGCGCTCCCTTCCTTTTACTTTGGCCTTTAACCAGATTGTGGGGATCTCAAGAATCAGAAATATAAATACTTTTTAAAAATTACTCTTGCAATACAGATAAAGAATGAATTTAAGATAATCCTACTTCTATTTTTGAAACCACTGTGAAAAAAAGCAGCAATATTCTCTTCCTGATTCAGTTGTCAACTTATTTCAAACTAAAATTTAGGAAACAATATACTTTTTTTGGTAACTGGGATAACACAATAAAAGACACATGACTATCAGCTCAAATGAGAAAACATCTCATTTCATCATTGTTACTCCAGATAACAATATATAAAACAGGCCAGGAATCTATATAATGCTACAAAATTACAAATGGGTTATTATTACATTATCGTGGCTTTATTTTGGCTAAAATGCAAGTTGACAATTCATTAAACAGTTGTGGGAAAGTTAAGTTTGTTTAAACTGCCTAACGAATCACATTCCTCATGCAAAATATTTCTTACCTCACATGCCACAGGTATAATTAGTACCTGCAGCATGTACTTAACCACGTGCTGAGGCCCCCACCGAGGCTGAGACTATTTGTACAGAACCCAGTGTGTCTGTGGGATGAAGTCATGAAGGGAGATTGCTGCTTCTGCTAGAAAATCACACGGACGTTTTTTTCTTTCTATAAGGTAACCTCTGACCTTGATACAATCTTCGAATTTGCTGATAGTATTTTTTTTAAGTAGAGACATTTAATGATCATATGGTAAACAAGAACCCTAGTTGTGAACCCTAAATGGCATCAAGGACATTTGCCTTCCCTATAAAATAACCATATGCACGTCTCAAATCCTGCATCCATTAGCGAGTAATTCAAGCTGTCTCTCCGGTGGAGTTGGTAACAGTCCTAATCTGACATTCCAAAGCAGCCGTATCTCTTGGGAAAACAGGGCTATTACCCACTATCATTTCTGTTTCGGTTTGACATCTGTGGAAATTTCAACACAGGTTATCCCTCCCTCTGTCTCCATAAAACTTTTATATAACAGCTGATTAATTTTTTGGACGGGGAAGGCAAAGCCTTATCTGCTTTTATGCCTGTCTGCCCAGAACGGGACCCATCCCCAGGCTGGTCTGGGACCACACAGCGGGACAGAGAGAAGCGTGGTCTTCCTGCCACAAATCCAACAGCTCCGGAGCCAGTGATGCCCAAACCAGGCGCTCCAGGCAGTTCAGGAATCACACGGTTTGCTTTTCAATTTCTGCATTGTAAAATGGGGCATTCCCAGGATGTGCTTCTGAGTGTTTCTAGGAATTTTATACAAGGGAAACTAAGAAAGTAAGATTAATACATATTTCTGAAAAATGGCTGTGATAGTAACAAAGTCAGGATTCCAGTGTTTACCCAACATATACCTTTTCCCCAACATGGCATGATTTTGAGAAAAAAATGTTTGTAGAGTGAAAACACTTTTAAAAACTTACAGAGTATTATGTAAGTATTTTAAATAAATAGTGTTAATAAAATTTTAAAAGTCAGAGGAAAAAATCTCTTCTCTACATATTTTCTACGGAATATAAACTGTGTGAGACATTTTTATTAAGAGGTAACATATTACACTTAGTCAAAAAGGTGATAAAGCCTGATGTTTATATTAAGGAATATTTCTTGGTTTCACTTTAGTGTAATCATCAGATGGATCACGGGGAAAGGATGGGGACAGTGGACACAACCTGGAAGGGGCGATGCCATGAGGAACTCAGTGAAGGGGACAGGAAAGTGAAGGCAGTGATGGAGGGGCTCCAGCACGTCCAGGTCAGTCTCCGGCCTTGGGGTGGTCGGTCGCCCTCCGTTCCCCATTCCTTCTCGCCCCGTGCTGGGGTGAGGGAGAGGGCACGGGGCGGGCAGTGGAGCAGCAGGGCCTGCCAAGGCCCCATAACGGGGGAGAGGTGGGTGATGGGAGGGGCTAATAGAGAAAAAGTCATTCTACTGGGAGGAAAAAGGCGAAAGGCTGAGAAAGAACCCTTGGCAGAAAAACGCCGGTTTCCTCAGGTGTAAAATGACCAGGGGCTGCTGGGGGACTCCGAGAGCCCCTCTGACCTAATTCCCATGGTTCTTCTCAGGTCCTTAATGGTCCAAGTGGACCCAATAGAACCACGTTTTCATAGTCTTTCAAACATCAAAATTCATTGAAATGGGACATTAGTATCACATTTAAAATACAACCACAGATAAAAGTTATTTATTGAAAATCCAATAAATTAATAAACTATGCTGCTTCCACTTAGTGACGGACTGTTTTATGGGTAACTTGAGGTTACATTAATAAAAATAAGCTTCAAATGTCTGCTCAGTGGGGGGTTATAAAATTGTGTATTTCTTTAAAAATGGATAGCAACATATCTGTGCTCAAGAAGTAGCCTGATTCTCAGTTTATTAAAACAGAAAATGTCTCTAAAGTATAATCCTTTGTGTAAATAATGTTTACATAATTTCAACAATTTCCTCGGCTTTGCCACCCCATCTGCCCAAGGCCCTGAAGTCCCTCCCATCTCCAAAAGGAAGCAGGGAGAGCCATAAGGTCTCACGGAGCCTCCGAGTTAATGGCATGTATCATTTACATTGAGGGCATGGCATGTTTGCAAACAGGCTCACCACTGAGTGATGAAATGTACAAATGGCTCGGAGAACTCTCCAACCGGAAGGACGGGCGAATCCTGGGATGGAGGAAAAACAAGTCACCAAAAGTCACAACAATTCCTTTTCTTTCTTTATGCCCTTCCTCCCCCCTGCAAAGTAACAGTCTAAAGATGAATATATAACAAAGATTTACCAGTCCGTGGGAAGAAGAATAAGGCCTCATCCAATTAAAAAGGTTGCCTACACCCTCTTCTGCATGCTTAGGTAAAATGCCAAATTTAAAGCCACACGCATTTTACAATTGTGAGAAGCAGGAGCACAAAGAGGGAGGGGAGGTGAAAGAAGGACAATGATAGCCACAGGGCAGGAAGGAAGGTACGAAAGTGTAAATGAGAAATTAATGATTATTTAAGTAACACACAAATGGTCTTGTAATTAACAAAGAGCTGTTAAATTATTCTTGTGTTGACCTTTGTTTCTTTTACTGGATTTGCTATTTATTTACACTTCCCTTTTTATTTACATTTATTTATATATTCAACTGCTCTGAACCGTTTGCCCCTAACAGAATCATTTGGGCCAAATATATATATATATAAATTTAATGTACAGGCTTTTAGGGAAAACTGTTTTCTGGAAAAGAATTCCAGCCTGTTTGCCAGTCTAGGCAAACGCATGAGGAAGGCAGTGCGTTAAGGACATAATGGAAAACTCCCACCTTGACCACCAAACAGAACTGGGGAGGAGGCGGCGCCACCCTCAAGAGCAGGAAACTACACAGCAACAAATGCTCCACAACAACTGCGTAATACAGGGAGCAAACCCCATTACCATTTGCAAAGGAAGGCTTTAAGAATTTAGGAGTTTTTTCAAGAATGACAGAGAGCGCCACTGTGTTTATAGTGTAACGGCTCAGGATGTAATGAAATTACACTGCAGAGTACTTTAACAGTCATCTCATTAGACCTACAGTTGGAACAAGAGAGCCACATAAAGTAGGCAGCTGCAAATGACTCCATTCTCATCTATTCTCATTTGCTATTAAAAATACCTTTCGGCGGCTTTTTTCCTTCCTGACATCCCTACACAAAGTGCCCTGCAAAGTATGATACATGCACCTATTTAAATTAACAAAGGAATGACTTATTTTAATCTCACTGTGCTTTGGAGTGCTTTGGCCATTTGGATGAGCAATATATCATTACATACAACCTTCCAGCGCTGCAGGCAAGAAACTCAGAGCATGCAGCATTTGGTGGGAGCCAAACAATTTCTCTAGCACACAACTGTGTCAAATGCATGCATGTATTCATTATTGAGAACGAGAGGAAATGGCTTTGATGTAGTGGAAAAAAGAAGATGATAAAAGCACCTCTGCAATACGCGTGTCATTATCAATGGTGGCAGATAGATACAATCATACAGCCCCCTATGTGATTAGTAAATATACATATAATTGCTGTGGCCAATTATCAGAAAAATGAGATCGGTAATTACAAGACAGAAAATTAACTAGAACTCTTATTAAGGCTTTGTTTCCAATTCAAAGAATTGAAAACTGCTGGAAAATACAACTGAATCCAAAGGAACGGAGGGGGTCAAAGCAGAAAAAAAAGTAAATAAAAATAAAAATAAATAAATCCCCTAAGAGGTTAAAAGAAAAGAAATGTGAACAAAATGTTTCTTAGGTTTTGCCTATCTGTCCTCTTTGAATGTGTTCTATTCATCCAGAGGAGGGGAAGGTTAGTAATCGTAAACCTAAAATTCTCATCAGTAGAGAAAGGCTTCCAAGAGGAAAGGAAAACAAAGGAAAATGAGAGTGAAATAAAATCTCGCCAAGTTCAAAGGATTACATGCAGCAGTACACGGTGAGGACATGGAAACGGGGGCGGGGGGGGGCGATGAAATCCTCTCTCAACAGAAACAAGACATGCGGTAATATGACAAGTCTTCGATAAAGGTCCTGTAAAATGGTCACAGAAGTCCCATCGGCTTGAAGAGCAAAAATAAAACATGGTATCAGTCTCAGCCCAGCCCATGTTAGGAAAACCATCCATGTCGCCAAGCCTGCAAGATTCGGCAAGGCCCACCTCAAGGCATGATGTTTTACTGTCTCAGACAAGAACTATTCGTAAACAGACTTTCGAGTTTGAGGTACAAAAATGATGGACTCTGCTCAGGTTGTTAAGTTTTCTGAGTCATTCATTCCTCACATTTTTTGGAGGCTGCAGTGGTGGAAGTGTCAGAGTGACGGCTGCTTTAAAGTGCAGTGTTCAGGGAAAGGGAAGCCCACTGTCTTCCTGTCCGTCAACGTGGCTGACTGTTTACCAAGATGGTTAAGATTCTGGACTGGTTTTCTACAAAGATCCTGGTATAAAACATGATGCTAATGGGGGCCTCATTTCAAAGTATGATACCAAGAGTAAATTAATGAATTATAGACTAGATGACTTGATGAAGATGTCATTTTAACATGGATGAGAAACAAAATGAGGAAATGTGACATCTTTGCACGGACAGTTAATTTTATTTAAGACCTGATATTGTAGCATGTTAAGTTCCTCATAACATAAAACTAAGGAGCACTGGGTGGTACCCATGAATAATTTATTTCACTTGTGAAAATGCCAGCCCACATCGACTTTGCTGAACCAGGGAGTGGAGTCTCATCTCAGTGGCGCCTGAAAAGAATCACTCATCAAAGATGGGGTGGGGGAGGGAAAGGGTGGGATTTTAATCTCACAGAAAAAACGCCAGCCATTTCTTTTCATTTTAAAGTCTGTGTCTCCTGCATCCCTCAAAGGAGAATCTCCTGATACCAAAGACAGACATGGGGTGGTGGCGGTCGGAGTGCAGCAGAGAAATACGGGCGGAGGGGTCCCCTGAGAGCCCCCAGCGCCAGCGGAGCACGCGGCGGTGCTCGCTCCAGAGGACGGACCTGAACAGACCTGACCGCGTGCACAACACCGGGGGTTTTGAAAGATACTTTTTTCGTTTTTAAGCAAGTGAAAAATTTCCAAGAACCCGCCCGTTCCATGATGTAATTCAAATCTGTTTGAAGGAGGGTGGGAGGCTCATCGGGAGGCTGCTCTGGTTTCACAGATGCTCCCAGGAGGGAAAGCACCCAGTCCGCATGGTTGGGGGAGGGGCGCACAGAGGACCAGGCCACAGGCTCAGATGGGCCAGGATGCTGGTCACTGCTACTTACCAAAACTGTTCTCTGTGCAATATGGGTTCAGGCCAGATGAAGAAACATACTTCAAAAATAACACAATTTGGAAAAGCAGTTACACTAATAACTTTCAGGACCAGCTGAAACAGACTCTAAATTGTAACGCTCACTCACTTTAAGACCCTGGGTGCCATACTTCACCTTAAGGGCTTTTTGGTGATGGGCTTCTAAGCATGGAGGTATGGTCTGAGACTGTGGACACAACTTTAACCAAAAGCTTTAACCTGAGACCCCAGTCCCAAACCAGCTGTAGAGTCCTGCTGAAGGGATGCAAATTGGACCGCCCTGCAGAGCAGGTGACCGTTACAGACAGACGGCTGCTACAGACCCTTTCAGTAGGTGATTCTGGCCACCAAGGGGGTGTCTCAGAGTCTCTGAGGTTTCAGTGACCGCCCGGTCGGCGCCTTTTGGTAAGCACCAGGAACACAAGCAGGCGGCACGCTAGAGAGCAGCGAAGGACAACGGGAAAAAAGTTTGAGTGATGCCTTTGCCTCGTGAATAATGAACAGTTCAGGAAGGTCAACCCATTACAACTGAAACTGTTTAATTATTAATTATGCACAATCTATGAGCAAAAGGACAAGTTCAGAATGTTTAATGTATGCTAACTTCGACTGGACTCTCTCTGGGTATTTTGTTATTAGCACTTGTCAGCAAGGTACTCAGGCATAAAAAAAGGCAAGCAGCAGGAAATCCGTGTGTGTGTGTGTGTGTGTGTGTGTACCTGTGCACTCAGAGGTGGGGGGAGCAGGGAGAAGGAGGTCCAATTCCAAGCACAGCTGCTGTGAGTTCACTTGCAGAGTAAGTGTGCCCAGATGTACACCTGAGACCTTGAGCACAGGCAAGCACGTTGGATACTTCAGATACAGAAAACATGAATGAGAAGAATGCATTTGAACTGACTTACTTAAAGGGGAGAACATTATTTTAAAGACAGTTTTTTTTAAAACTATGATTCCTGGCTCTGAAAGGAACTGCATCATTGCTGTTCACACACACACACACACACACACACACACGCATGCAGAATCTGTATCACATCAGTGGTTGACCCCACGTCGGTTTCCTGGTTGCAGTACTGCACTAGGTCATGGGCTGGTGACCAGGGAGGAGACTGGGTGAAGGGTACGTGGGATTCTCTGTGCTGCTTCTCACAACTGCATGTGAATTTACAGTGATGTCAGAACAGAAAGTTTAAAAAGAGAAAGGCTAGGAGCCAGTTTTAAAACCTCTAATGGGGTCCAGATTCTTAGAGGAGCTTGGCTCTTTAAGGAAGAAGCTTGGCACAATAAGTGGAAAAATGTTAAGGTTAAGGGACCTTTGCTTAAAAAAATTACTCAAGGATTTAATTTTTTCCTTTAACTCATAATTGATGACAATGGAACCTGACAATGATGTGGGTGTCAATTCATACACTGATAGGGCACAGAAGACAGAAAACCTGGTAAAAATGATGTGATCACTCATTACTTATTTCATTCATTCAACAATTTTCTTGACTTCCTACCACATCAAAGGCACTGACCCTGGCATTGTGGGATGACTGATATTGAATATGTATCCTCAAAGAATTAGTGCATTTGTAAAAAATATTTTATTTATTTTTAGACAGAGGGGAAGGGAGGGAGAAAGAGAGGGAGAGAAACATCATTGTGTGGTTATGTCTCATGCACCCCCTACTGGGGTGCTAGCCTGCAACCCAGGCATGTTCCCTGTCTGGGAAATGAACTGGCAACCCTATGGTTTGTAGGCTGGCACTCCATCCACTGAGGCACACCAGCCAGGGCAGAATTTGTGTATTGTTCAGAGAATAGACATGTATTCCTAATAAACAGCCCTGCAAGT